AAGCGTATGATTTTTCCGTTAAATTTATATCTCAGGATGATATCCGGCTAATTGATTCTGTAAATTGTTATGGTTTAATTTTTCTTGGGTGATTATGGGTTAAAATTGACAGCTATAAAAATAGCATTAAAATTGTGAATCAATAAACAAAATCTTATTCTTAGTCTTATTTTTGGAAGTTCTTCACATTTCCTCGGGATAACTACTTTGGCAAATTTCCTTAGCTTACTAGTGCAAATCTCTCCTACAACTGTCTGTGTATTTAAATCTTTAAGTCTTTACAGTCTCCTTTTAGTATGCATCTACACATTTGTTTACTCCCTCGTAGTATATTTTTAAAAAGGTAAACATAACGACACGCAGGAACTTATCATAAGATTGTCAAACCTGTAAATGTTGATAGATCTGATGTCTCAAAGAATCACGTGACTAGCCGGGTTAGTCCGACCCGAAGTCCGGACCTTGGCGTAGACATGGCTCTCGAAATCGAACTTAGGCTCAAGAAGACCAAGAACCAGAAAAGACAATTTGTACCACTCAAGAATAATCATATGAATCGGAAAAGGTCAAAGCTGAATAACACCACTTTATTTTATACAACATAACACCACTTTGGGTTCACCTATTTCATATCAATAACCTGTTTATATTATTCGTCATCATTATTATTATCATCATCATCATCATATTTATTATTATATTTATCACATCACCTATATCGTTTCATTTAGTATATATATCCCTTAGCATTAGAACAATAAACCATTATCTTTGATTTTAGTATTAATTACTTATTTACCTATTTCCCTTCTAATTAACCACTGAGAGTTGGATTAGAATTATATTGCAACTTACAAGATGTCAGTCTGTTATTCGTGTGATTCTCTGATGGATGGATGTATACTCAATGATTGGAGTATATCAACAACTTTATAGTTACTTAAATGATAGTTATCCTTTATTGACATAAACAGGGAAAATGTATTTATACTACTATTTAATTGTGTCCGGGCCGGAACGGTATTATACACAACGCTATGTATAGCAATCGCTGATGCTTAAATCGAGCTCGTGCGATTGGCTTAAAAGTTGGCCGGGTGTGTAACTCAGGTGGCCTTGGTATTCTGCTATCATATTTTGGCGTACTGACAAAGATTGTCAATCTTTTATTCGTAGGTATAGATCTATTATTTCTAACGTGTCACTACAGATTTTCAACTGGTCCAAAATCCTTTGTTGTCGCACAAGTATGACCAATTACGAGGGGATACATAGGTTAGCTATAATTGACCAATTACGAGAGTTACTTTGTATCCTCCTCTGTAGTTCAGAATCATCCTGCAGATGTAGCCCACTATGATCTATTGATATAGAATGAAATACAAGTGTTTACCCTGTAGTGGTCAATTATAGGAACAAGGCATAGTAGACGATGAATTTCACCTACATAGAAATCTCGTGATCTCAATCGTGAAAGCTTATTCGCTGGTATTCCATGATTTTATGCATTATAGGCTTGTATCATTGGTTTAGGAACTACTCTTTTTTAATTTTTTATTCGCTTTCATTGGCACATCAATAGCACATTTTTCATATTTAATAGGGTTTTATAATAATAAATGTAGTATATATAGCGTTTTTATTTCCAAAAAATTTATTCGAATTTCAATAATAATTCTATTGACGTTGCACACTTACCTTAAATATCTGCCTGTAACACACTTGCTGTTTAATAAGGATACTTATCAGGACGTTCTTGATTTTGGTCTTGATATAGCTATTCAATGTACTTGATTATCAACTAATAGATATACGTTTAGTTCTCTGATGGTTATATATTACATCTGCGGGTTTACCTTTGTATTTAAAAACACATGCCATCTGTAAATATGAGCGTCGTACTTCAAACCACATACGTCAACCATTGCTGCTATAAAAAAAATTAGTACATGGTGTCGTATTTGACGCATAATTCCACGAATACAATTACACTTATCTTGTCACTCAATTATAATACATATAATCTATGTATTATAAGTACCATATTGCGAATACATTCTTATTGGTACGACACAGTACCAGCTCCCTCATATGTCAAACTAATATCAGATTTCATAATCGTTCCTGGATTGGTCGAGTAGCTGCCGAATCTTCTAGTTTCTCATAAATTTATTTTAGTAATCCAATCAAGGACCCTGTCATTGAATGGATAAACTATAATGCTCTAGAAGTGCCGTATATGGGTCAACTAGCTCCTTGTATATAACAATAAGCTATGTTTCATATGTAACTGATTTCTAAATCTAATTCTACCATTTCCCAGTTTGCGGGTAAATAGTCAATTCGATCTGCGCAGGAAAAATCTTGAATATAAAAAGAACCTCTATTTTTATCATGACAAACTCTCCAACTTATAATAAAGGATTATAGAGTCTCATTTCTTTGCTTGTTTTATTTTCCAATTTACATCTCCTTTTTTTTCTCAATTATCACACTGCCTTTTTTAACAACACTTGATATGAAACCAAGATTAGAAAACTAGGCTAATAACCACCTTTCCAACGAAATGGTTCAGAAGAGATTGATTTAATTAAGCTTTTTACCCATTGTTAATTTTCAAAAAACGAGGCTACTCATTTCAAAAGTTCATATACAGATACTTAGCAAACAAGCAAAATACACTCTTTGCAGTAGTACCGGTTCATACTAAAGAAGAAATACTGTTGTATGACAAGCCTATTTCAACTCACAAAAAAGATTTGTATGTCAACATAAACAGCAGCATCCTTGATTTTGATTCTTTCTTTGCTAAAACCACATAATAAATGCTACTGTCTACAAAAGGAAAGATGTTTCACGAATAAAAGATCGGGAATAAGTAACCTGGCTTTATGAAAATTTCTTCATTACAACACAACTCTAAGCTCCGACCAATGAGAGATCAGAGAATTTAAGGAACAATAATAAATCAAGGACAGCTATCTTACGGTCTTCAATAAACCAAATGAATGGTCCATCATATAAAACTACGATGGATCTGAGCTGTCAAAAATACAAGCCACAATATCTTCAATCTTCTATAAATATCAGGGCAAACCTGCCCGTCTAGTTGGCTCTTAATCAATTTTTATACAAATAAATCGACAAGACTTATAATTGTATTCTCTTTGTTTTTTATCTATTTTTTTCTGTAAAACTATTCTCTCTTAAAGTCTATTTTTACTACACTTTCGCTAAGATATGGTGTTCGTTTGCTGATGGTGTGAAAATATTTTACAAAACACCGGAGCATCTAAAACTTCACTTTAACAAAAGATTAGAAGCTGGTGTGTTCTACAATACAACCTTACTGAACGAGAATATTCGTAACAATATAAGAGATGCGTTACTTCAGTCCAACAGAATAACAACCCCTATTGAAAATTATTCTGGTCATCAAAGAAGACTACTTCCAAACGATCACTCTTCTTTGACAATCCAACGTCATGAGCGGCAATTAATACCCTCACCCGCACCTTTTGCAATCTCACCACCAATCGTATCAGCTTTCACAGTTAACAATACGCCATCCGCTCTTCTCTTGCCTCGCGATGAACCTCCCACTGATGTTAACCAAACGGAAAGTGAATCCTCGACCAAAAAGGATAAAGCGATCAAGCAGAACTTGTTTGTTTGCATGGACACAGTTTCTTGCAGTGGTCGATCAAAGCCCAAGCTATGCATAAATAAAGGGGTATTCTTGGCGCACCTGCTGGCGCACCCAAATCGGGCTTTAAAGTATAATTCTTACGTAATATATTCATTTTGGGTGCGCGAAAGCAGTGCACCGAGCTATTACATAATATTTTTATTTTATGTGCGCGGAATGGGTGCGTCAAGCGAAGCATGCGCTATGGCAGATGGTATTTATGTCTTACTTAAATACAATAAGGCCTTCTTTAAAAATCACAGGTCCCACCATTATATTTATTTGAAATCTTATAAGATTGACGCATATAATCAGTTTCACATAGATCAAGTTATTCCTTCATAGCATGCTTATGATAAAGATTAACAATTAGCAATACATATTTTACTGTTCGGCTACTTTGTTTTCACCAAACTGCTTTTAAACTAAGAAGATGTCATTGCTTTTTAGCTTTAATCCAACAGTAGCGAATACCATGTTATGCTTTCTTTCATACTCATCGGCAATGGAACGCGAATGCACAATAATAGTAAAAGTACTTACGATTCCAAAGGTTTCGACCATTCGCGATTACTTTATTCTGTTACTTCAAAAATGTCCATTCTTTTGGTAGATGTAAATAGGACTAAAATTAAAAGAAGGAACCTCCTTGAGCAAAGTACTGTTGCTTATAAAATATAGTACAAATACGTTGTCCCTTTCTTGATGCACTCATTCCGCGCACATAAAATAAAAATATTATGTAATAGCTCGGTACACTGCTTTCGCGCACCCAAAATGAATATATTACGTAAGAATTATACTTTAAAGCCCGATTTGGGTGCGCCAGCAGGTGCGCCAAGAATACCCCTAAATAAATGCGGATTATGTAATATCGATAATTATCCTGGACGGTACAGAAGCATACCCTGTCCATTTATCAACAATCCCTAGAATAATTGTGAAACCCCCACTAACCAATCAAACAATTTGTTTTTTTTTATAAAAACAGCTAATTTACTATAAAATCTTTTTTTTCTTTACGTTTTATAATAAAAACAACACTTAAAACCTCTTTTTCGCAAAACATTTCGGTGCCACGTGGCACCCAAAATTAAAAGAATTAAATCATTTTTCAAAAACGTTCCCCACCTATGGGTATAAGACCAAAGTTTTGGGCTATATCTCATACTATGTAGTTCATCTGTACTCCAAAAATGTGTAGTGCGTACTATATATAGCAGGAAGATACCAATATAAGTACAATCGTATTTTAAGCAAGACGAAAGATAATTTTATTTATTTATGCGCTTCTGATATTGATACTGTACTAATGCATAGGGCCAAACCGGACCAAGGACGAGATTTAATAGCCGCTGTCTTTTATAACGCGCTGGCGTTACGGGTTTGAAACTAGGACGCGTATGTAGTTTACGCGGTCTATTTGGTATGACCTGTGAATCTTCAGGACCGACAAGATAGTTTTATCGCGCGTTGAAAATCCACCTTCTTATATACTTTTTTTCGACTAAGCCACCCGTTAAAATCAGCGATAAAATCAATTTGAACAGAAAAGGAACTAATTAAAAAACAAGTCGGGCAGTAGATATCACCTGCACAAGCAAAGCATGTCACACGGCCCTACGCCCAACAATCCGGAGGTCACGATAGGTATCCCTTATTTATCGCTAACCTTCAATGAAACAACAACTGTTAACAGAATCATCAGAAAAAAGAATAAGACCCAACAAAAAAACATGAAAACAGCAGAAAAAGAACAAAAAAAAGAAGCAAAAAAAAGCACACCATCAACCGCGTTAGGTATCATGCATATAGAACAGGATAACAAAAAAACAAACAACGATGCAACAGAAAAAAAAAGGAGCGCACCAATCTCCCCTGGAATAGGAACAAATGAAGCCTTGAAAACAATAGATTTAACAAACGAAGGACAGTTAAATGAACGATAAATTGAATTCATCATCAAATTTTATAAACACCAGGAAAAAATTGAATGCAACAAATGTAAAGGGGCATGGATGAACATAAACCGAATCGATTACATTGAAGATGGAGAAGAAGGATATGCAGAAATAGTACTATCCTGCAAAAAATGCACAAAAAAATACACAATGAACGAGGCACAGGAGTTGAAATAAAAAATAACGAAAGAGAAAAAAGACAAATAGACGATACAAGAGCAACAAGGAAGGACAGAAAACTGTAAGAGAATTAAAATTCTCAGCAGATGTAGAAGTCATTATGGAACAAGATGAATTAGCTAGAGAAAAAATAGCATGCAACAAATGTGGAACAATTGGAACTATACAAAAAAATGGAAGAAACCAAGAAAAACCACCGAAGCCACATTACAAATGCAAACTCTGCGAAAAAGGAACAACGTTTGCTGAGATGAAAACTATTTTAAAATATGAAACACCAATAACAAACGAGAAACAGATGGAAATGGATACAGAAGATAAAAGTGATTTTGCAGACGACGACGAGAATGATGTGTCAGATATTGTAGACACGGAAATGGAACAAGATGGAGAACTAGCAGGAAAAATAAATGTCTGGAACGAAATGAAACACTAAAAAAAAGATTAGAAAAAAAAGAAAAAGAAACAAAAAAAATGCAAGAGCTGATTAGGTAGAACATCAACCTGAAAAATAAAAATATTCAACTAAAAAGGAAACTGCGCGAAGTGGAAGAAGAAAATGAGACAGAAGAGTACAAGGAACCAAATAATAATAACAGCAACTATCAAGCAGAAAATATAAACCAAAGTAACAATCAGAACAGTAACATGAACTCACAAAATGAGTTCCAATACTTAAAAGCAACAAAAAGCAATATAGCACTACGACAAAACAACAACAACAACAACAACAACAATAGGACCAAAAGAAGAAAAAATCAATTTTTTCGACAAAACAACCCAGCCAAGAAACAATTAGAAATAGCAACAACAACATTCGAGGAAAAAAAGGAAGAGAACAACTTCATAAACATACATATACCAGGCAAAAGACGAATGAAACCATCCGAAATTAGAAAACAATTAGCCTTCGTTGGAATCGACAACATACAAGTACTTGATACATACTGTCCAGATTGGGATACAGTACTAATATTAATACACGAAAAATATAAAGACACAGCAGAAAAAAAATTAGTACAGGCGGGTATATTCACAAAGGAATATAACTACCTACATATTTCACATTTAAGAGACAGCAAATTAGCAGGATTATAGACAGAAGAAAAAGTAGCAAAAATGCAAGAAATTAGGAACAACTGCTCAATAAGAGCATTGGAATGCATCAGAGAGCCGGTAAAAAAATGAGTAGTAAGAAGCTTTTACCGGCAAAAAATTATTAGCGAAAACCAATTGAAACAAGTATTAACAGAAAGAAACAAGAACGAAGCAATGGACATATTTCAAGAACCAGCAACAGAAGAACAACCGATTGGAAACAATCCGGAAGCATCACAAAAATCACGAGCAACGAATTAAATTGATTATATAGTCAGCGAAATTAAACCCTGAAGATCACTTTTCAAAATAATAACAAAATCATGCAACATTGTCCCTTTCCCGTATTTTACTTATTTCCTTCATCACATATGAAGATCTCTAGGCACAATTTTACTTTATTATATTTTTTTACTATATTTCATTTTTTTGAAACGAAGCATAAGAGGGAGTAACTAGCATCCATCATCATCAATAAACACTTAAGTTGAACTATCAAAGAGAAGAAGATAATTGATGCATGCGCAGTTTGGTAATGATATAATTTTGGTTCACTTTAATAGTGGCTTAGTAATATTGTTTTGGTTATTCTTTTTTGTTTCTTGATTCTGGTTCTTTCATTTGTGGAATGGTTCGTTAATTGTGTCTTAGAAATGGTGGTTTAGTTTGGTACTGAGTTTGGCGGTGAGAAAAAGGTGTCTAAACAGACGTGGTAAAGGCCCGACAAATAATATTGCGGTCAAACTTTTTTTTGTGTTCTGGAAGTTTTTCTGGTAGTCCTTTTCTAAAGATTTCAGTTCGCATCGTTTTTTTTCCGCTTTTCCAAAATTGCAATATTGTTAATTATCTTAAGTCGGTTACTCGTGAAATTTTATTCTTTCTCACTTACAGTTATTTTAACTGCTTGTGGTGTTTTGGGATAATAAATTTTCAGACAGAAAGGAAATAAAACAAAAGTAGGAATACGTTTAGACTGTTGATATGTTTTATTTAGTTAAAAGAGAATTAGGGATTATCAAGGTCAAAGAATAAAATATATATATGAGATGTCTGAATTTAAATTATAAAATTATTGCATAATGGAAGTGCACTATTTTAGTGCAGTGTCTTCTTGCACTATTTTAGTTAAAGACGTGTAGAGACTAAAGAAGTGTATTTTCTTTATCAAGTATGGATGCTGAGACATTTATATTTTGGTGTACAGTGCATCTATTTTACAATGAACAATTTTTGGCTCCGATTTTTCAAAAAGATAAAAACTCTATCTCCTCGATGAATTCAACAGGTATCCAAAATCCGGCTCTATTACATTCTTTATTAGAGAGTTCTCCACAAACTAATAGAGCCGGAATTTTTTTTTTCACACAAAATTTTTTACAGATGGCAAAACAAAATTGGTCATTTACAGTGGGGAGACCCAAAGATGTCCGGGAGGTGTTTTACAGTGCAAAAATTCATAAAAATCCAACGGATATATCCCGGTTAAACATTTTCCCGCGATAAATTAGATTTCTCTGTCAAAACATATGAAAATCACCAGTCTAAAAATCCGACTTTTAAGTTCTGAAAATGTCCGTTTTAACGAAAATTGTTCATTGTAAAATAGATGCACTGTAGAATGTATGATGTAAGTGTATCTGATGTTATTTTTATAATGATGATTTTATTAGAAGTGAGCCAGATCATCACACTGCTATTTCGTCGCTCTCACTCATATGCCACTTATATTATTGTTACCTTTCTATTTTGTTTACTTCTTTAATTTTCTTATTATTCATATTATTTCCATCATAGTTTTCCGTATCTTCATTTTATTTAATCTATTTTTGTATTCACCTCATCATAGTGTTTCCGTACGCTTTATTTATTTCATTCTACTTTCGTATTAGTTATTTTGATACCATATTTGACAGCTATCAAAACGTCTATATAAGATTGTCTGATTTATAATAATAAATGTCATCGAATTCTTTCTTTCTGATAAACTTTACTTGTTTTTTAACGATCGTGATTTATCTTACTTCATTTCAGATTTCAAAGCCTGCTTGTGGAATTACTATATCTTTTGTCTGTATTCCATAACAAGTAGTCTTACAGTCTCTTTTTTGTTATTTTATATATCTAATTGTTCTTATCACTCCATACAAGTTAAACATAAAGACAATCAGATTCATTTCATAGTTTAATCGTGCGTGGCAAATCCGCTTTCTGATATACTTTTTTTCGGCACTATAGATTTTGAAGATTTATAGAAACTTCATAGGATACCATGAATGCAAGAAAATATCAATTTTGTTTGACTTTGATATTTTTTTCATTTTTTTTTTCAATTTCAAGTGCGAAAATATGCTGTTTCCAGAAAGTTTTTTTTATTTTTGGATGACTTTTGTCACCGGTACTAAGATTGTCTCTACAATTTTGGTTTTTTTTTTATTTTGTTTATTTTGTCTATTTGTGACGTCGCCAATTTTGTATTATTACATAAACCTTTGACCTTGATGCAATTGTGAGGTTCCTTTCATCCGTTCCCATACTTAACAAATTGCATTTATTTCCACAGTTGTTGAGTTGTCTACCGTTCACATTACTTTTTAAAAGAACAATTTATTTCCCCGCAACACTTTATAGACAAATTCATAGGGATTAAATACAGTATTATTTTATTATGTTAATCTTTAACCTGGTTCATGCGTGGCTTTTTTGATGCCATTAATGATTTTACAGTGGATTCAAGTTTTGTAAAAAAAAAAAATACTTTGTACAAACTTCAACACGTTTTCAGCGAGCAAAATCATTTCTACCCTGTCTACGAAAAACAAATAACAAGAATAGCCAACTACAAAGCTCTAGTTATAGCAAAATTTGATAAGTAATATCTTCTATTCAATTAGACTTTTGAATTTTTTATAAACGCATGTTCTTCTTTCAGTTTGTTTTTGGCTTATTAGACGTAGTATAAAATACGTAGTTGTAAGCCTTAGAGCCTGAATGGAAAAAAAATAAACAATCCCAAAAACGACCCATAAAAGGCAAGCACAGCGGCGCACCAAATGATAAAATGTTGCTAAAACACACCAAAAACACACCATCATTGATTGCTTAAATCGGCCATTTAAGCAATCAATGATGGTGCATTTTGTGTAAATTCACAACGAATGATTGTTAAAACTCACATTGAATGATTGTGCGTTTTCTCATCTAATGGTGGTTTTTTACCGTTATACGCTGTTTATTTATGCATGTATATGGACCTTTTACCAATCGTACATTGCATTATTATTCGCACAGATGCATCCCTTTTACATACACACTTGATATTCAACACTAGTTTATCAATTGTTCTCATGGATATGGTGCTTACATAAGAAATATGGTTTAAAAAGACGTTTAAATTTTGTTTAAAAATGATTTATTTTGAGATTTTAAGCTGGAAGCAATTTTAAGTAGTTATTGTTGAGAGCATATAAATTCCAAAAAAGAAATAGTTTATTAAAATGATGACGAGGGTATAAATAGCTTGTGCTGGTAAATTTGATGAACGTAATGCGGCGGACGTTGGCAAAGACAAAACAGATTTATTTTAAGAGCATTTGATAATCAAGTTCAAGCTATACAAAACACATGTCCAGTTGGAGCTTAATTTTTTAGCTGAATGATCGGCTCACCTTTTGAAACGGTCTTCAACAATTTTATACATTTTATAACTAACTAATGACGATGATGGGAAGTAAAACAATTTTAAGGAAGCAGCGACAGTTTTTACCTTACTAAAGTTAATAGAGATTATATCTATTAAAATACGCAAATTATGTTAATAAATGGCCAATAAGAAGAGGATGATGGAACTTACATTTTCAAACCATGAAAAAAGTGGCTAAAAATAAAAAATAAAACGCGTCTTAGCATGGAATAATTATCAAAAAGAAGAATGAAAACGTACCCTTGTATCTGTTTGATATCTCTAATTGAAGGCTAAAGTAAACATCTGTGAGTAAACTGAGTTCTTGTCAATATATCATGATTACCTTTTAGTGTCAAAAAACACAAATACTTCAATGATAGTAACTAAAATAAAAAACCAAGGTCATCAATATCGTTTTGTTTTTCTTTTTTCCTATCAGATACCAACCCTTCAAACGAAGATTACAATAAATCATAAGTTATAATCAGACAAAACGTCATAGTCAAAGACAAAATAAAAAAAGAGAGGGAAAGGAAAAGGAAGATAGCGTGAAAAAATATGCGAAAGTTGCGTGACAAATTGCCGCCAGAGTCGGCTGTACACCAATCAAATTATATGCGTGTGTGATTCTGGCTAAGCTCCAAAGCTGTAACAGCTGTCATTATTTCTCAGCGCCAAATGCAAACCGCTGTCATATTCAATGGCGAAACCTGTGTATAAAGGCATTAATAATATATTTCTCTATCACTAGAACTTTTTCTATACAATTATGTCAAACTATACAAACAGATTTCATAACCTTATGGAACGTAATGCCAAAATTGCAGATCGATCCTTGAGGTGTGATGTTTGTCAATTGAGTAATAATAGTCGGAGTAACTATACAAGACATCTCAGCTCTGAGGCACACCGGTTAAACATAGCGAATCCCATCCTATCGAAAGGAATATATCATAATATTATTGGAAAATGTACTCAAAAACATAGGAAATGCAAGGTACACTCACGAGGTTCATAATGAAGCAATGAATATTGATCCATCTCCGGAGGTTCAAGATGATGTAGACAGCTTCCTGGATATTGATTGAACTTCTGGAAGGTAATTTTTTATTGAAAACTTAACCAATGTATATGGTTACCTTTAAAACTATTAGTCCAACAATGACAGTGAAATCGGACGTGACTTTGACCCCTTTGATAACATTTTCAATGATAAAGTACAGTTGGATTACGGTCTGGGTGTTAGTGAATCCATCGACCCGAATACCAATGATAAAGAACGTCAAGTACCTGATGATGTTAATGGCAACCCTTACTTTCCTTCAAAAATGAATATCACATGCATGCTATTCTGTTTTTCAAGTCTTGAAGTATCAAGTATTCAGAGGAAGAAATTAAAGCGACCCTTGAATTCGGCAGATACTTTATTGAAACAGCAATTCGGCAATACAAAGATCAACTTGCTTTGGATCTCACTGACACTAACTATAATTTCAAAGGCTACAGTGCATCTACTTTATATGGAACAATTTTAGCTCCGATTTCTAAAAAACAAGAAAACGCTATCTCCTCGATGAATTTAACATGTATCGAAAATCCGGCCCTATTATGTTCTTTATTAGAGAGTTCTTCATAAACTAATATAGCCCGATTTTTTTCTTTGACATAAAATTTTTTACAGATGGCAAAACAAAATTTGCCATTTACGGTGTGGAGCGCAAAAATGTCCAGGAGGCCCTTTACAGTGGAAACATTCATAAAAATCTACCAGATAATCTCGGGTAAACGTGTTCCCGGGACAAATCAGATTTTTCTGTCAAAATATATATGAAGATCACCAGTTGTGGTGAGGTCACGGTGACTGATATGTGTAACTCAAGCCATCCAATGGATATCACAGCCAGTAGCAAAGCGTAGAAGAGCCTCTGCCAATCAAACCAAATCATCCCCATAATAAAATATAATCATAGGAATAGTTTGAGAAAATCAAATATAAACTAACCAAGTTCAAAATAAATAAAATATAAGTCCTCTTACACCCCAATTTCTACGTTTATCAATACTTTCCTTGTTAGTTGGAGAGTAGATTATAGTCAAGAAGGTGCTCAGATAGGTTGATTTATTAAGCCAGTAGGTAATTAGAATCCCGTTACAACACAGTGTAAAAATCGGACTTCTTAGTTCTGAAAATTTCCGTTTTAACGAAAATTAGGGGGTGCCAAACATTAAAAAAATCATTTCCTTAATTTTTAAAAAACATTCCCGGGAATGTTTCCCCAGCCAAATTCCCTAAACTTTGCGGGAACGATTTTTTGTGCCCGAGATTTTGCGGCCAAGAAAAAGTATTCCCGAGAAATCTCGGGAAAGAATACTCATTTTTTATTCGTTGTTGAGAAGGAAATATGACGTGAAAATGTAACATTTTATTTATTTTATGATAATCTAAAAGCATCAAATCGCATCTGTGTTTGCATTATAAAGTTTTTCTAAGTTTTTAACTTACCTTTTTTCTCCTTAAATTTCTCTAAAACGTATAATCTAAAATGTCTGATCAAATAAACAGAAACACTGGTGGCGGTTCCTTCCAACAACGATTCCGCAGATAAAGCCTTGATAGAACCAAAACTACACCTGGTCAAATTAAGGCTATGATTGGTTTCTTTGAGAGTAATCAAGACCTTTGTAAGATATTCTTGGTGGACAAAAGTCGTCCGCTCCTTCAGCTGGTAGTCAGATAAAAAAAGAGAGATCATTGAGAGATTGTTTCAGCAACTTTGGCAGATAAAGTAATTCCGTCTTCCTGGAATTTCAAATCGGTTGGAAAACGTTTTGAACGCCAACTCGCAAAGTATCGCGATGTAGAAAGAGATATGAACTCTACCGGTTTTGGCTTGACTACAGATGACATTAAACGTGGACTGACCTCCATCGAGGTCAAGTGTGAACATTTGTGTATTGGATTTTCTCGTTTGGCTGCTCTGCATGGTGTTAGACGAAACATAACTCCTTATTGTGTGGCTTTCCATGGTGCCCCTGGTGGTACCGAGTACACATACTCCAACAGAGTAAGGCCATCATTAGCTGCAATTGAGGCACAAACGTTTGCAGTTTTTGGTGGTCAACAAGAGGCGATTGAAGAGGTCAGTCGATTGTTGGTTGGAAGTGATGCAGCTGAATCTTCAACAAGATCATCTGCTTCTCTTTCCTCTGGTGATCCTTTGGCTGCTGTCCTTGGCTGCTGGTGCTCCTTTGGCTGCTGGTGCTTCTCTTTCCTCTGGTGCTCCTTTGGCTGCTAGGTCTTTGTCTGTTGCACCTGTGTCTACTGAGCGTTCTTCCATCTTTCCGTTTTTCTTCTGTTGGGCTATTCTCAAACGAACCTCTCTCTTTCCCTCGTCCTGCTTTTGGTGAAGCTTCGTCTGGCCAGCCGTCATCTGTAGAAGTACCAGCTACCAATGTTGCTTCTTCTCCTCTGTTGGTTCCATCTAATACCCAGCCATCAAGTCGCACACCATTATTTGAATCATCATCAGAGAATAATTTGTTCGATTCCTTTTCTTTTGATGATGGTGGAGATTTTGATGATGCTGGGTTGTATCATGCTGTGAACCATGACAACGATGTCAACAGTGGTAGTGCTGCTCGTGCTGGTGGTGATGTTGGTGCTGGTGTTGCTGGTGGTGCTCGTGCTGGTGGTGGTGGTGGTCGTGGTGCTGGTGATGGTGCTGGTGGTGCTCGTGTTGCTAGTGTTCGTGGCGGTGCTGGTGCGGGTGCGGGTGCTGGTGTTGGTGGTCGTGGTCGTGGTCGTGGTCGTGCTCGTGGTCTTGCTCGTGGTCGTGGTCGTGGAGGTGTTAGTCGCGCTGGTACCGTTCAGCCTGAAATGCCAACGGCTGATCGCATCCGTGTTCATCCCGATCACGCCATGAGAAACAAGAGGATCAAAAGAGACTTTTCTTCTGAGTATCGCGAGGCTCAGTTGAGAAGGGACGAAGTATTGAGGGAAAATAGTCAGAGGGAGTTCGATTTGGGTATGTCCAAATTGCTTGTTACTTGTCTGACAACGAACGCCTTCAATACATCGTCATTTACGGAAATTACCAGACATCTGGCTGATTTTCGTAGATCTCTGAGGGATCCTGTCGATGATGATGATGTATATGATGATACAGAGTATCTTTACAATCTTGATAATGATGAAGATGAGCACGACGACGGTAATCCTTCAACAGATGTAGATTAATATTTTTTTCTTTTTAAATAAAGTTTTTTTTTTCCTCTTACAAATATATTTACATTCATTGTTCAGAAACCTTCACAGCAAGGACGCAATCCAATCCTTTCAACACAAATGCACATTATATCAACTCAGTGGGTTTATTCATTATCATATCCGAAATGTACTGCATAATCTGCTAAAACTACTTCAGCAACGGAATTCCTCCAAGTATTCAATATACGGCTGGAAACACTGTTGACGTTGTCAAATGACTCCAGCAACACCAGGTCTAATCTCGACTGCCCGACGTCAACATCCTCATAAAAATCACCGTCAAAATTGTCATTTTCCAAGATCAAATAGTTGTGCAAAAGACCGCATACATGTACCAATTCATGTATTCTCATGATATCCTCCTCACAATTGATCTGAATCGGAATGTTCTTCAAGATTCTCCATTTTCCCTTTAATACACCAATGGTATTTTCAACAGCAACTCGGGCGGAAGAGTGAACCCTGTTGAAGTCTTCGCACTTCACCGAACTTACAACCTGGGGTCTTATGTAAGGAGTAAGCACAAATGGATGAAGAGCATATCCGGAATCACCGAGAAGGTACTCATGGCTTGCAGCATCGCCACATGTGAAATACTTGGCTTCTCTATTAATCATGAAGCTAGCATGCTCTACACATGTGGCATCACACATCAATCCTGCTTGTCCTGATTGGAACCCCAAAATGATCTTTCGTTCATCACAAACAACCTGACAGTTCACAGAATAGAACCCCTTTCTATTGTAATAGGATTCGGGGCAGTCGGTAGGCTTTTGAGAAAGGCGAAAATGGGTGCCATCGATGTAACCAATACAATTACGAAAAAAGTGCTGCTTTTTGATGGCTTCAGCTGCTCTTTCTCTTTGTTCCTTGTTAGGCCAGCTCATCAAGTGTTTAAGGTTGTCGGTGATTGCCTTAAAACAGCGGCTGGTGTAGTCAGTGACAGAGCCTTTGCTGATTCCAAACAAAGTTGCAATCTGCTCAATGCTGTTACCAGTTCCATAGTGATTTAATCGTCTCAAGGTTACTGCAAGTTGAACGTGAACATCCCTTTGAGGAATGAAACTCTGGTTGTTGAAAAATGCGTGACCTTCAATCAAGCGAAGGAGCTTTAAGAACGAGTCCTTATTCATTCTACAAATCTTAACAAACTCTTCGTCATTCCACTCGAGAAAATACCCGCGATACTGGTCCAGTTTAGGAATTCCAGGTCCACTGTTGAGAACACGTTTCGTTTCTAATCCACTCAAGAGTTTGTGCATCTCTTCCGCTTCTTCTTCATTTTCAATGATAACATTGTGCTTGAGCAAAGACTTCATCTCGTTAAAAGTTTGTTGTCTAGTAGTTTGTTTGGGCATTTTAAAAGTTGAAAATAAAAGATAATATTTATAAAAAATGGTTTAAAGTGAAAAGGGGAAGCTAGAGCTGTTTTTGGCTTATGACGAGTTTTCCCAGCCTAAAAAGATTCCCGGAACTTCGAAATAAAATTCCCGCGATTTTGGAAAAAAATTTAATGTTTGGCACCCCCTATTGTTCATTATAAAATAGATACACTGTACCCTGCTCCCCATGGTATTAATAGGTTTTATGAATCAACCAAAAGCAATATTCCAATTCTTCCTCATGCCGAATGTTATGTCAAAAGTCGTGAAGGTAATGCTTATACCACAACTATGGATTATTCTAGTCGTGACACGGCTCATAAGCCGTACAGGACTGATCTGATTATCAACTATATTTCTGAACAGCTGCGTCTTCTGATTGCGAATTCAATAATGTCCCCCTATTTATCGAATCTTTCTGATTATACGAGTAACCAACGTATAAAGATCAGTCAAGGTAAAACGTGGATTGAGGATAAATGTTTTCAGCCTCCCATAATAATTGCTGGTAATGATAACGACCCTCGGCATTTGGGGCTGTCGGATAGAATCTGTCGTCTGTCTGATATCAATGTTCCTGTTCCACAGCGTCACTACTTCAAGGTATTCAAGTTCTTCGAAGAATCCAACGCTGTGAAGGCGTTCCTTTTACCTGTAATAACCAAGACGAATGATTCCATATAATATCTCTCAAAAATGGTTCTCTCCTATGATGTATCCCTGTTAATTCTTAATGACGTTTGCCGTTTAGAAGTGGAAGATTACCAGGCCTACACTAGCGCCATTCAAATTTTGATTTTAGAACGTTTAATCATCTGTAACCCGAGTTTTACTGTTGATGACACTAATTTGATTCGTGATCATTATAACATGATAAAAGCTGCCAACGACCACAAGCACTCATTGCCAGTTAACTCCAACTTTAGCAACAACGTCCTTAACCCGTCTATTCCCAAGAACTTTCAGGTTGTTAGAGTTGTTCCTTATAACTTGTTTTCTGATGACACTATTGGTAATTCTACCTCCGAATGGAACTGCTTCGATACTTGGTCAATGAATCCTGCAGCTGTCCCCCTAAGTATTGCCAATCATTACTTGAATTAATTGCTTTTATGTCGGTCTAATAAACCCAGTGCTATGAAGCAGTTGCATTCGCTTGTTGGTAATCTAAAACAGCTGGAAACTGGTTGTCGATGTTTCATGCTTTCCTTAAAGAAGACGTATTTGTTGTCGCTCCTCTTTTGTTCATCAAGGCTGACAATCCTCGTCATGCCGAGATAACTTGCTTAAAAATTGCAACGGCTACATATCCTTGTAGAAAGTGCTTCTGGTTCCGCCATGCCAATAATTACCATCAAAATATAAGGACCACTCCTGAAGAATATGTGCCAGCTCCAAGAGAATAAAGGCAATGCGAAAGTTTATTTAGTACAAACAACTTACATGTTCCTGATTTTTCCTTTCGGGTTCGTGATAGACAGGGTAACATTATTTTCGTCGATGATCTGATTACTCTTGGTTTCAAAGATTCTAATGGTAAGTGCTTGTTGGGTCTGTCCTCCTGGGATCCAAGTAGAGATACGCCAGTCGAAATATTGCATGGATTATGTCTGGGCTTGATCGAGTACACCTTCAACAAGGCTGCTGATTGTATTTTAACAAAACCCAAGTCGATGTTATCAGTTCTCGATGTCGTACTTACGGTTCAAAGGCTTTCACTAACATGTCCACTCATCTGAAGGGTTACAAAAGCTACCTTGGAAAAGGTTTCAAGGTTATGGTCCAGATGATTCCAATTTTACTGAGATTTGCTAAGGATGACCGGACTAGTGTTCGAACTTTTAGAGTTTGCACCGATCTTGCGCCAGTTCGAACGAAGCTCGAACCGAGTTTTTGTACTCGAGCTTGCGACACTTTTTTTGGGTTCGAGCGAGCTTCGATTGATGCTCGCTCGAAGCTCGCTCGGCCAAAATGTCGATAGTAGTCACTTTAGAGTTAAGGTTCTTGAAAGACTACAGATGGCATTTCCCCTTGATTTTGTCATTTTCTTCCCTTTACTATTTTTTTTTTATTTATGCTCTAATAATTTTAACTAAAATGCTTTCGACTTTTATTTAATTGTACAACCAACAAACACATTTACCAAAGAAAATAAAACAATGTTGCACACTATACCCAGCTAAGCCAATTTGTGACTATAACCACGGTAACATGACGTAGCAGATTTAATTTAAAATTTCATGTTCACAAATCCAAATGTATTATAATTATAGATGCAGTAATAGTTTGATTTAATTATCCGAATTTGGTGTTAAGGCTGGTGAAAAAAAAAGTTTTTTTTTTCTTTTTCCAACTTCTATTTCAATAAATAACAATTTTATTATCATAACTTTCTGTAATTAACATCACTTTGACGTGCACTTTGTGTAATAAAAAGGGCGAGCGAGTTCGAGCTATCGTATTCGCAACCGAGCCGAGCTTAAAAAATTCGAGCGAGCTCGAGCTGCAAAAAAATTGCATTCGAGCGAGCTTGGACTGGAACACGATCGAAGCTCGCTCGAGAGTTTCGATCTTTATTCCGAACACTACGCGGCACCTGTCTTGGAACATCGTTAAGGTCAAGAAGCTTTATTAAGCCTATACCAAACTTTTGGATTATGTTCCAGTTCTAGTCCTGGTCAAAGTGCTTATATCTGATTGCATCTTCGAACACGAAGGAACTATGGCGTGCTAGTAATTGTAGAAAGACATTGAACGCTAGAAGTTCATTACTATGATTTCAATTATTATTACCTCAAGCTTCTTCTATTACAGTATCATCGTCCATATACTGCTCATCGAGATTTTGTAAGAACGTAAGCTATTCTTCAGCATTATTTGTGCATTGGTATTGATATTGTTCATTCTACTTCTTACTGCAAACAAATTGCATTTTACTCTTCGTTGATGCTCTACCATTTGAGCATGGTTTTCAAAAAGACTGTCGCAATAGCTGCATTTAAATTTACGTGCTGAAATCATGGAATTAAATTGAGGGAACTGTTAAAGAAAGATACCGTAAGTTAGTCCTAACATAAATTACTTAACGCAGTTGCAATTAACACTAGATCCAATTTTGAATCCCAGATAGCTGTCATTACGTATTGCAACTAGAGCTTAATTTTCTTTTGCAGTAGCATGGATTATGTCATAAATAGGTTGTAAAAACCATGATGTACCAAAATATGGAGAATATATATATATATTGCGCTTTTTGTCTAACAAAGTGGTTTTTATCAATCTACATCATAAAATAGTTTGAAAATGCACGGATATAACACAAATGACATGGTCCTACAATCATCGAACTTCAGACCTAGTATTTGATTTGCGAACCGAAATTCAACCCAACCACTCCCAGGTAAACGATCGTCTTCATGCCATGTAAGAACGGTTGATTGGAGGGAGCTTGACAGACGTGACACCGAGAAGAGGTAGTCATAACATGGCATTGGTATACCTTGACATACAGCTAACACGTGTTTATAACAGTCCACCAGATGACCGAGCCATCGGCTGTCGGAAGTATCGCTCGTTTGTATGGACGTGGAAAGCCTGACACTGAAATTGTGACCGAGAAGTGTAAAACTTCTAGGATTTGTGACAGACAGGCCCTCTGAGGCTTTTTGTTGCCGGTGTGATAATTTGAATTACTTCTTGATAAGAACCATAAAAAAAAAACATCAGATACACTTACATCATACATCTAACACTACAATATTAATATCTCAGCATCAATACTTTATAAAGCAAATATACCTCTTTTGTCTATGTACTTCGTTGACTAAAATAGTGTAAGAAGACACTGCACTAATTTAGTACAATTCCATTATGCAATAATTTTATATTTTAAATTCAGACATCTTAAATATATATATATCCTCGGCTCATAAACTAGATAATCTCTAATTTTCTTTTAACTGAAATAAAGCATACAAACAGTGTCAAAGTTGTGGTATTTGACAAAAATTACATAGAAAGGTAATGAGATAAAAGTATATTTTTATTAGGGGTAAAAAAAGACTAAAAGTACTCTGCTACTATTAAATAATTGATCCTTTTTATGTTGCACAACTCTCCTGAGTTTTAATGATGAGTTAACCTTTCTGGTTTTGGAATAGATCTATACTTTGTTTCCCGGCTTGGGTTAAATGGATACTACTCGTTAGAATTGTTTCCAGATAACGTTGTCCCATATCAGTGGATCGGGAGATTGATTATTCTAATAAATCTTTAGTATTACGAGAGGCGTATTTATCAGATCATGGAACGGTTACTGTAAAAGATGCATACTTATTTGGCAAGTGTAATCGGCAATAGAAAATAATAGTTGATCATTTATTCATTATCTTTGTAACGAATAAATTACGATCCCAAATATATAATGTCTTATCGATATTTGTATATTTGGTTGTAGAAGCTACGTATCCATTAATTCATTCACTATTTCTTTATACTCTTTATCAGCAGTATAACTATATTAATATATAAGTAAATGAACCATGTATATTAATAGCTGTTCTATTCTCTCTCTGGGTAGCTAATCCATTGAGAGAAGTATTAATATTAAGTTTCTCTTTCTTATAATTCTTGATTGATCTAAGAAGTTTCTCTTCTCGATCGGTGATATCGTAACTCAGTGGTATAGCATTCTGTATCCAACTGTCATTCGTATATCGTATTTAAGCCAATCATGGAATCTTTTATATAGAAGTATGTACTCGAAGTAGGAGAAGTTGTATAGCAGTATACAAGCGTATGCTGATATCCAACATCAAAGGTTGTTTTAATTTCATAGTTTATTTATTTAAACGATTTGCTTAATTATTCTTAAGTGAATCGTACCCAAATACGACAAAAGTAGTCCTACTTTTGTTTTATTTCATTTTGTCTGAATTTCTACTATCCAAAACACTACAAACTTGCAATAGTTTAATCATTTGTCTTCGTATAGATCTGATATGATAACAAGAAATACCTAAATAAAACGTTTATAAGATGGCAAATTGAAGTTGGCATAGTAACAGATTGGAAAATTCTCGAATTGATGAAGCGTAACCCAAAAACCTTTGTTCATGAAAATCAAAGCAGTATGGCAGGCCACCAAATTAAAACTTTTGTAATAATTATATTCTTAAATGTTTACATACAAATTTAAAGTCTCTAATGACGATATCGCTGAACATACCATCGCATTAAGCCTTACAGTAAGATCTATAACAGTTCAAAATTGAAAACTTTTTTGCCAAATATTTTTTTATTTTGTTCGCAGGAGAGCCTCAAATTTTTCTTTTTTTCTTAATGTGTTCCTCCTCGGAACGAGAGAGGAATACAGAAGGCCATCTTCTTTTTTCGGCCAATTGCCGAGGGCGGCGAGAGCAAGCAGAGAGTTGCCAAGAAGGCGAGGACACAATCCTGACAGGGGCAGGGCAGGCAGGTGAAGAAAGCACCCGGGTCGAAGGTCGGCAAAGGCCACCCCAGATGGGGCGCCGAGCAGCTCGCCAACGACCCCGGCGTACAACCCACGAAGGGCGAGGAAGAGAAACGCGACAGAAACCAATTTTTCTTCGTTTCGTGTTCTTTTCTTCTTCCGAAGAACACGAAGAAACGGAAAACAACTTTCTTTCTGGGAAAAGACCCAAAGGACGCCAGCTAGATTCTGCCAAAGCAGAGGAGGGGTAAAACACGAAGTTGTAACTAAAAAAAGATAAGATCATAATTAGGAATGGTGGAAGTCATTAATCACATGATTTCATTTGACATCTTCGTGATGTCCCATTGCCAATAATGCCGTTTACTTACTTTTTTAAAAAAAACATATTTAAAATTGGTTTCGAATGAAAGAATAAAGAAATAAAAAACAACACTGATTATCTCCTGTAGTCGAAAATTAAAAAAGTCGGCCTACTGATGACGTCGTCTTTTGTATGAAAGACCGACACAAGTTTAAGCCACATCGGAAGTACTTGAGACCAAAATGAAAAGTAGATCTCTCGGATTAAGTTATGAATGAGAATCTTTTTACCAACTTTAATGATACTTTCAATTGCCCCAATAGAATAAACCGGCCCTGTCTAATTTAAAATGAATTCTCCAACTTAAATTCAATAAATGTAATTATTCCAGTTACATTTTGTTCCCCCATTTCACTGAAGAAAACAGAAAGAACTGAACATAACGGAGAACTTTGAAACGATGAAGCAACTAGAACAAACTTCTGAAAGAGTGCATTTTTAAAGATGATGATTTAAAGGATGCTGATGTCATTAGCATCCCAAACTGTTTTCATGTGATGATCGAAGATAAGCCAGCAGTGTTCAGAATCTGATCTCGGACCAGGTTCATTTCAAAACGTCTAAAATGTCCAAAATGTATGGAGTTTGTAATTTAACTGCGAATAACAATATCCGAAATATGGAATGTATCACCGAAAATCGCGCATTCGAGACAGTCCGAGAATAGGAACCTGTGATTGTAAATACACCTTCCAAAATTAAAACCAGCAGCTAACAAACCTAGGTCTACCGCACCTTGAAGACTTTCAAAGATCACTAGGAGTACATGTTTTTTTAGTAGACAATATAGTCATAATGCTTCGGTAGGTTAAGGTTGAATAATAATTGGTAAAGCTTTCAAGATTTAGGTATGTATTCAACCACAAATATCTTAACAAGTATAACATTAAAAGTTAATTAATTTTCGTCTGATAGGTTAAAGCTCTAAGGCGGAATGGAGTATTACCGTTAACGGTTTCTTGTTTTCTACGATCGTATGGCTTATGAGGTGGTTACCTGTATTCTGTCATACATTTAAATTGACGTCGATACGAAATGTAACTACATACCTGGGATACAAAATGGCGGAAGAAATGCTAGGTGTACGCCAGAACTCTTATAACCGATTCACCAAACGTTTTTTTCATGCTAAGTTACGCTCACTTAAGAATTACAGCATAAGATGGCCATCAACTCGCGACGAATGCCAGGATATTATCGCTGGATTTGCAATACCCTCTCGAGGAAATGGTTGTATTCGTTTAAAGGAATGTATCAGGGCCATTGGTGGAGAATTAATAGTGGCCCAAAAGCCCTCCGCCTTTGGCAATACTTGCTTAGATCTCCAGAATTTTTGCTCAAGGATCCAACTTCTTATATTGTTGGAGGTACGTGGTATCTTTATTCTTAGTACTTAGCATTAAATAAACTTTTATAGATTCAGCATATCCGATCATCAGACATTGCTTGACTTCTTACCGACGCACTCGTGACATTACACTTGCTCAGACAAAGTATAACACAGTTCATTCGTCAACTAGATTTCCGACTGAAAATTACTTTGGGTTATTCGTTGCCAAATGGCGGTTTTTGTACAGAAATTTGGATGTTTTAGACTTGAAAGAATTACCAAGATGATTAGAATATGTCTCACCTTCCACAATTTTTCTATAAACTTCGATGATAGTGAGGATTATTTGACGAAATTGTTATACAATCATGGAAATAACATTATGGTGGATCAGTCACCTTAGGGTGGTATATGCGAGTCAATACCATTGATGGGGCTCAATTTATCCTTCGCGATTTACCAATCGGAGCCGAGAGACCCATAATCGTCCTGATAGCACCGCTGCAGAGAGTACTGCCTTAGAAGGAAGAATTGGAAGAAGGAGGAGAGAATATAGATATCACGTTTGTTCAAGACTATGATCCTAATAAAAATACTACGACGTTCAAAACGTTTTTTGTTTTTGCAAACTATTTTTATTTATTTGGCTATGATGTATGACAGCAAATAGAAAGGAGGTAATAAAATATGGATAAAAATATAGAAAAAAAACGATGAAATCAAAACGATCCTAATCCAAATCTTAGATATCTTTATCAGAGTTTACACATGGTGTCGTAGGTGCTAAAACGGGTGCGGCTGGTTGACAATTACTGAAGACACATTAAATCTCCCATCAACCGTAGTCTTGTGATCCTGTCAAGGATGGCATTATTACCGCTTGATTCTCGGTCTAGTGCAATTAGTCTTTCTGTTCTTTCTGACTCGGCTTCAGTACTTAATCTATCCACTCGACGGTGTTCCGCTGCTTCCAAAAGCGATCATTGAGAACTTTTATTGGTTGAGCTAAATTTCTCGGTCATTGTTCTGATAGATGTCTCGACAAATTGTGTATGCCTTTCCGCGTTTTGAAAATAAGCTTGATGTACCCCTAAAATAGTACTGCGTATAGCAGATTTTGCAGATCATGCTGAAGTGGGTGAAAGCGCTGGTACCAATGATGTTGGTACTGTTGCTCTTGCTGTTGCTCTTGGTGCTGCTCTTGGTGCTGCTCGTGATGATGCTGATGCAAATGGTACAGTTTAATGCTGGTGCTGGCTGGCACGTATCTTGCAGCTAGTGTTGCTTTTTCCGAGGCTGGTAAAGACATGAATGCTGGTGTTGTTCTTGATACAATGATGCTGGTGCTAGTGCTAGCGCTGGTGCTGATCCTATTGTTGGTGATACAGTAGGTAAGGATGTTTGGAAACGTAGAATGGAAGACGAAACGATATGTTCTTCAAGACATCTGGAGTACGTTCTGCTAAATGGTTTCTCAGATAGGCTGGAGAAGACGACAGCGTGTTGAAGTATCTTTTATTATCTTCCTAAAGAGTGGTAGTAATTATAGATCCTGCAACACCATTCTGTACGATTCATGTTTCAATTTTGTATGATGGACAAGAAGCTGGGATTACGGGCGGTAATATCCTTCGTCATCAAGTAATGTTCATATCTTGGTTTAGGAGGAGCTCAACCCGAACCAGTACGTCTGGTATCAGCTAAAACCTTCTTGAAGTTTTTTTTAATGGTCTGGAATTTGGCTTGGGGGAATTGACCTGCTGGTATTTGGTCCGGAATGGTGTATGGTTAGTTCCATACTGGTCTTCTTCGGGTATTAGGACGAACGTAGCATGACCTTCCTCCCATAGTCTTTATTTTCCATAGCTATGAAATCGGGAGTGCTTTTGATAGAATCTATCATTTGAAATACACTGCATCAAAATACTTTCAATCGCTATACTCCATTCCCCAGGACGACCAGGTAATATTATCTCTTCCTCTATGGCATTATACTCCTCTTCAATTTCCTCATTATTTTGTTGATGTGGCTGACGTTGAGGTTCCTGAGTTTGCGGTTTTTGAGGCTGCTGTGGTCGAGTGAATTCCTTGGTGAAAACGTATTCAAAAAAAAAGTTATTGTTTGGATTGCTCGTGAAACTACGAAAATTTAGTAATGACAAATTTCATACTTTATTCGTTAATGAATAAAACCTGGTAGTTTCCAAGGTGAAATATGCCTTTCAAACAATTCAAAAGCCCAAACACTGTATGTATACTGCATGATTGTTTAGTCACATTGTTACTGTTGTGAGTCCAGCTTCGGACATTCAAAGTATAACCTCAATAGAAAACAACTTCTTTCCTCAACATTATTAGTTTAAGACAAACACCAATTACTACCTTCGTACCTTTGCAAGATATATTATACAAATAGTTTATCCAGAATATTTAGTATAAATACTCTTCTAGATTTAATCAATAAACAATTATCTTTTACTTGAATAAATAATCTGTGGCTTAAGCTACTCGAACTCTAATTTATCTCTGTCTGATCAACTTCTAAAGACCGACTTCTCTAACTTATTTTATTACTTCATTCGGAAGTATACCTGGTAGTTTTTCCCGTAGTTATACTCGGCAATTCCAAATTGTGCTTTTTCGCTCCCCTGGTGAAGACCTTCTTGCATAACCAGAAAGGCATTCTCTTCAGAACCGGTAATACATCGCCGGTAATGCATTCTCTTCATAACCGTTAATGCATACCAGGTAATGGTCTGTGTTTATACCGGTATTGCCTGAACGGTAATGCTTTTTTTTTCATAACCGTTATGTTTTATTTCCATAACCCGTAATGTATAACCGGGAATGCTATTTTATCTTGACCCGGAATGGTTTTTCTAATGACAGGTACACAACCAGTTCAAAATCTTAAAAATTACTCAAATTCGGTCCCAAAAAGTAAATCCGTGAGCAAAATTTAATTTTTAAAAAAAACCCAAATGCTGCTAATTAGACGAAAAACCAAAATACGTTATTAAACATCAAATGCATAAAAAAACACGCTAAAAAGATATTGAAGATACATAAAACCTTTAAATGTTAGTCCTTGAAGGCTGATGATAGAAGGGCGTTGATTTGACCGTTTTTATTGAATAGTAAAATGAATTGAACTTCATTTTTTAAAAAAAATGACAGGTAAAAATTTCGAAATTATTCTCTAGGTTAATCTTGAGAATCCGTTTTGAACATTTCGAAATGTCTGTCCGTATTATGGAATCACGAAAGAGTACCGAACTTACACTTGATAATTATTGAGTGTTGAAGATCATTTATCACAGTTGAATGCTAAATCTCTATTAGTTCAAAAACTGACAGCTTGATCACCAGCTTACGTAGAGTTTCGTCCGATTTGACCGCGATAAGATTGCCACCATCGCCATTTGGTAGTTTGTGACGAGGCTTGCGTTGCCAGAAATCACATTTACTGGTTTTTCAACAAGTGAATAAACCTCCAGTCCGATGAGATCATCGCGTTTTAGCACAACCTTTCCGAATAAACGACGCTTCCCACCTTCATCAAGATTGAGATCAAAGACAGCCACCATGTTAAAAGCGACTCTCTTATCGGAGATGAATGAAGTACTACCACCCTCGCGGTTGACCTGAAAGTACCTTTTTTGACCCAAACGTCCAAAGCATTCTCTCACCTTGCCACCATAAGTCTTCGCATCATTGTCCCAGGAAAAATCCATCGCGATATGCCTCCAAGACAACTCACGACCATTGATCAGAGCCAAGTCACGAGGGAGGTTTTGCTGGTTTATTTTCATGATTATTGTCCAAATGTACTTGTTGAACTGTTCATTCTTTTCAGTAACCAAAAGCACAAGAGAAGAAAAACAAATACAATCCTCCACCAAGTGAATGATCAAGTGTGTTTTCAAATGATTGCACAGAGGACCACCTGTCTCGGCGTATGGAATGGAAGCACCATTAAGCTGTTCACGAGAACTAGCAGTAGCACGAGATCGAGCACCAGCACGAGCACTAGTAGCAGCAGCACCAGTTGCAGCAGCAAAAATTACGTATTCATCGTCATAATTTTCGCCTTCTTCAGGAGGCACAACATCAACAAATATCACCGATGGCTCATCAACATTTTTAGTTGTAGAACCTTGATTAGCTCTACGACCGCGACCAGACCGCCTGTTACTTGGCATTGCCGTATGGTTACGGTTATCCCAAGCAACGATTGTCTCATTGGCAGCCTTTCGAAGCATCTCAACAAATTTGTCAAACTTGGTATGAACTTCCGACGTATAGGATAGAGAGAAAAACTCACCAAGCTTATCGAAAGTATCGATGATGCTATTAAGCTTGTAATGCGGATCGTTACGAAAAGCTCGAACACTAGTTCTGCGGGTTGCCGTAAGGCATGTCAATGGAAATCTTCTTTCCCACATTTATCCTGTTGTTGTCTCAGGTAAACTACATATTTACTCAAAGACGTCGGTCCATAGTATTGCAATTTAGACTTTTGTTGCATTTTTTCTTCTCCAGAGGCTATAAATAGATTACTTAATAAAGGTGGCATGGTTGTTTTGAAAATGTATTGTTAAAAGGCGGTTTTATCTACCTTGTGACTGATTATCGAATTATATATAACTAACTTCAGATTTACGCACCCAATGTATAGTGATTTAAATGTATAGGGTACCCGAGAGTATGATTAAGAATAAAGAGATAATTTATTTAATAATAGAAAAATGGAACTTCTGTTATATCGCCAGTGACACCACGTACGACAATCATGTATATTAGGGATCACCGCAAAATCCCAGAGACGGCCAATTTTTGGCAAATAGTTACCTGTCACGGATACGGTCAATTTTAGAGTCACCGTATCCGTGACGGATACGGCCAATTTTTTCAATTTTTCACAGTAACCGTGACGGACGCGGATTTTAAATTCACCATATCCGTGACGGATACGGCCAATTTTTCCAATTTTTCACCGTATCCGTGACGGTCACGGCCAATTTTTCCCATTTTTCACCGTGGCCGGGACGGTCACGGCCAATTTTTCTCATTTTTCACCGTGGCCGTGACGGATTCGGCCAATTTTTCCCATTTTTCACCGTGGCCGTGACGGATACGGCCAATTGGTCCCATTTTTCACCATATCCGTGACGGATACTGCCATTATTTTATTATTTTCACCATATCCGTGACGGATACTGCCATTATTTTATTATTTTCACCGTATCCGTGACTGAAAGGGTCAATTTATTTCCGTTATTGACCGTGCATTTGACGGATTTTATGGAATTGTTCAGGGTTATATCCTATATTTTCCGGAATCTTTAAACACTCATTGCTAATGCAAAAATTAATACACCGTTGTACTGTTGGACAGTTATATTTAATAGTTATGTTTATAAAAAACAGTTATTTATTTATGTGAAGATAATTTGTATTGATAATAAAAGATATTACGATGTATTTAATTAAAAGAATATATTATGAAAGCTATTAAAAAGAAATAAAGACCAAATTCTAATACGGTGTGGCCCATTGTTTGGTAGTGGAGTATCGTAAATAGAACAGTGATAATCCTATAATCAAAATTATTAATAGGTGATTAACATATTTCATATGTATCATTTTATATACCTTATCCTATAGCCAACTTCATTGCCATTTTATCTATAACAATATTATCAGAATATATCAACACAAACAAAAAGATCAAGTTACTTACGTTTCAATAAACACGAGCAGAACACCAACAAAAATTGCAGATATACAGATAAATATGAAACTTACCTGAACAGATGCGAAAAGAATATACAAAGTAGTTTACAACAGAAAAGCTTTAGTTGATAACAGAGTACGTTACATTTTAATATTTTAAGAAAATCTGTTTATGAATGAATTGAGGAAAAAAGAAAAATTTGTGAAAAAAAATAATACCATTTTTATAGATGTTTTTGTGTAGTTTTTAAAAAAAAAAGGAATATGACTTGTTTACAAGAGGTTTTCATGATTTCTTTTTCTGCTGTTGGCATCAGAATTCAATGATAATACATCATCATTCGCCAACAGAGAGGAATACTGCGCTGACACTGACAAATCACCTTCACCCGACAACAAATCACCTTTCCCCAGGAAGCCATTTAGCCAATCTTGGCTTGTTTCTGCTTCGGGCTCATCAGATCTTTGGCTAAACGAGTGCTGGGTTTGCTTTGCAGCCCGTTCCAAAGAACATATGCACATCATATTAATGCTGCTATTTTCCTCTCCTTCCTCGCTCGTCAGGTCAATAGCCTTAAAGTTGTTGGACACACCGGACTGGATAGGTTTTGGAATCTGATAAACAAATATTAGAAATCGTATTGTAAATTATTATGTCTAAAAAGATGTACTTAGAGCATCCCCAACGGTGTGTGAAAAAACCATTTTATTCCAAAATAGCACAAAAATTTGGAATAATTTAACCCCAACGGTCAATTGGATAATAGAATATTTTAAAAATTTTATCACAAATATTCTAAATTTCCAATTGAATCAATAAATTTAGAAAATTTCTTCTTTAATTCTAGCCCCTTAATTTTTTTGACATGAGCGATAATTCTGAAACAGTAACAATCCCTGAGCTCCCCAAAAAGGCAGGACGTGGAGCAAATTGGTCAAGAGCCAAAGACCAACAGTTGTGCTTTTCGTTTGTCGCCATTGCTACCGATGGTGTCATTGGTAAAGGCCAGACATGCAAACGTTTTTGGGATCGCATTAAGACCGACTACAATGCCAAAATCGGTGACAATGCTGTCGAAGAACGTACCAGTGCTGCCGTAACTAGCCGCTGGAACACCATCAATCCCAGCGTGCAAAAGTTCACCGGCTGCTACGAAACTCTTTTGAGAAGTGTGCAGCAAAGTGGATCAAGTCCTCAAGATTTGGTAAAATGGCTACAGCCTAATTCTAGCAGAACTAAATTGTTATTTTACATAATAGGTCCATAAGGCGTATGCTCTATACAAAACGTCGACCAAAAACGGTGCTCCTTTTGTTTTGGAACACTGTTTTCAAATCGTATCCGCAGAGCCAAAGTGGGCCATGTACAACATGCCTAAGCCTGTTGTAACGAAGAGAAAAAACAATGGCAGTCTCGAAGTCATTGAAGACACTGAGACGGGTTCTTCTTCTGGGGATGTAACACGCCCAATGGGGTGTAAAAAGCTGAAGGCACTCCAGCAGCGTGAACGCCAAAACGAGGTAGGTGAAAGCATCGCCGCCCGTTTGAAGGATCTTCTGGAGTTGAACCAGAAGAAGTTACTTCAGAACCAGTTGGCTGTTCAAGTAACCAACAAGAAGATGAGGTTCGACAAGAGAGTTCGAGATGAAAGAATCATGTCGATGGATCTTTCGGTCATGACTGACCCTCGTAAGCGTGCGTACTTCGAGAAAAAACAGGAGAAAATCCTTTCTCAACCATCTGACGAATCGTCTGATGAAGAAGTAGAAGATGTGGTAGAAGATGTAGTAGAAGAAGTAGAAGAAGTAGAAGACGGATTAGAAGACAGATTGGAAGAAGACAAATAGAAACTTTTAAAAAATAAAAAAATATAATTGAAACAAAGTACTACATATTGCCCTGTCTTTGCAAGTGATGCTCGATCAAGTCTTTTTTCAACTGATTATGTGTATCACTATCTTTTAAAGCAACCAAACGGCTCACCAAAGCAGCAAAGGCTTCGGGATCATTCATATCAGGGTAAGCTTGTCCATGAAAAGAATGCATGTGGTAGTCTGTTCCAAGATCCTGACCACGTTCGTTTTCTACAATCTTATTATGTAATATGATACATGTTTGCATAATGGCCTTGAGATCGATAAAGTCCCAAAGTCTAGCAGGCCATTTAATAATAGCAAAACGTGCTTGCAGTACACCAAATGCACGTTCTACGTCCTTTCGCACACTTTCTTGTGCCTTAGCAAAACACTATTAAAGTCCAAGTAAATTAGTTTTTTATAAATTATCTTTGTTACTCTTGGTACCTTCTCTTTTTGCGACGTAGGCACTGCAATTGTCTTCACCAAAGTCGACCAAGTTGGATTAATACCATCTGCGAGAAAGTACCCCTTATCGTATCTATTGCCATTGACGAAGAACTCGACTTCAGGAGCAACACCATGTATCAAGGGGTCAAATACATGGGAACGATTGATGACATTGATATCGTTCAATGATCCCGGCAGACCAAAAAAGCAATGCCAGATCCAAAGGTCTTGGGAAGCAACAGCTTCGAGAATCAATTTTGGCATTTTTTCTTTACGGTATACATGCCATGCCAGGTAGTTGGGCAATTTTTTCACGTCCAGTGCATACAATGAATTGATCCCAACATACCCGGAAATCCTCTTTCTTCATTGATTGCCAAGAGATTCTTGACATCCTCGCTGTTTGGGGCTCTCAAATATTCGTCCCCATAGATTGCCACAATCGCATGGCAAAAGTGCTTCAATGACTCCATGGCTGTAGAATCAGCAAGTCTGATGTACTCATCAACGGAATCTGATGATACACCGTAAGCTAATTGACGCATAGCTGCTGTCACTTTCTGGATGGGTGAAAGTCCAGGCTTTCCAGCGGCATCCGGTTTTTGGGTGAAGTAGTCATCCTCTAATTGAACTGCTTCGACGATTTGCAGAAACAGATCACGCTTCATTCTAAAACGACGACGAAACTGTTGGTCTGTATAAACAGGGTCATTGGAAAAGTAGTCGTTGAATAGACGTTCATGCCCGGCAGCACGGTTTCTATTAACATAGCGGCGACCATGAACGGATCCACCTCTCTTAGGTGTATCTTCGGTTAGTTGTATAAGATACTGAAGAGCTTCTTGGATAAGTTGATCTTCAATATCATTGTTGTCGATTATGTCAAAGTTATTACTCATTTTTGTAACAAAAATTTAAGAAAGAACAAAAAAGAAAATAAAATCAGGAACGGGATTATAAATTTAGCTACAACCGTTGGGGTCGATCTGTTCTATTTTATTTTAACTGATGGAAAACAGTCCTATTTTACATTTGGAATTCAAAAACCGTTGGGGATGCTCTTACTTGAGCAACGTTGTCTTGCAAGACCGAAACAATTACTCTTCGTGTCAACCAGCTTTTCTTGGAAAGATGCATTGGTAATAGCGGGTTAGCTGCATCTACTGGAGATACCAGCTCAGCAGATGAGCTTGGGAGCCCACTACTGCTAGTACGCTTATTCCAAAAAAACGAGATACATTCTAAAAGCTCGGTTACATCGCTTTTGACATTTTCATCCAAAGAAGTCCAGTTGAACCCCGTACTAAACTTGTCACCAAAATACGCTACAAAGAAGTGCTTGCACAGGGTTTGCGTGTTATGGTAGGCCGTTTCAGATTTATCAGTTATCACCCCATTGTCCCAACTTTGCGACAGGCCTGTCAAGTAAGTTTTCATTGTTTCAGTATACACAACTGTTTTTCTTTCAGTATTCAAGTTGATGCTTCTTGAGCCAAAGAGGATCATCAAAACATCTGTTCTACCAACCAGATTATTGCCCCTAAAGTACTTAATGATCTTTACCATTTGTTCTTGAAGGGCGTCTTCGTACCATGACGCAAAATATTAGTATCAAAAGTCTATCACAAAACCGAGAACCATTAAAATATCTTACCTGTCGATGCATCAGTGTAGGGCAAACCAATGGGTGCATTCTTGTTAGTTCTTTGGAGCTTCTTTTTATGAGTACAACAGCTACAATGTTCACCAGGTTGCAAGTAAATATGATTATCGATGGCTGCAGGTATACCGTGAAATCCACGATTTACATCCTCATTCAACTGCTCGATCTTTTTTTCCATGGCGTTGGCATATTGGGCAAACTTCCTTTCCCACTTTGTATCGATGTTTCTAATTGCTTCAGTATAGAGACAGTAAAAAATTAGCATTTGATAATACGGGGTTGCTTGGGTTTATTGTCAATAAATAAATGAGAAATGGTTAAAAATAATATAAAATCAGGGTTATATCACGTATTTATATCTATTTCAGTTAGTGTACCTTTGATTTGAATGGTGAAGTGGCACATGGCTTTTACACACCAATCACCATGCTTGATTTTTTTTTCGTGCCTTTTTTGGAATATTTTTGGTGGCGGCAGACAAAATAATCTATGAATAGATGTCCTAAAGATTTTTGAAACTCGAAAGCCAGACGATTCTTGGCAACTTTGACATGTAAGCAATTTTAAGTGGTTTCGCCTGATATAATTGACTAATAAGGTATTAATCCTAGAAAAGGGAGCATTCAGGATAAGTATAAATAATCAAGAAAAAAATTGTACTTAACTTACTTTAAATAACTCAATCTTTAAAAATCATGGTGTTTCCTAACCGAATCCAAAAACAACTCAATGCTCCAAGAGTCCCTAAAAGGGGTATGGTCGAAAGTTTAATTAGTCACATGTCTGCTATCCCAAGCCCTGTTACCGATGTGAATCAAAGTCCCATTACCATTGTACAGGAAGTCGATAGTGTGGAAGGCGATAATGAGCAAGGCGATGTGGAGATGGATACGTTTGATATACTTTCCTTGGCTAAAATTAGGCTCACCAATGTCCCAATCGAAACAGAACAAGCAGGACGTATTCGTGAAGAATTAGAGCAAGACCTGCTTTTTGGATGGTGAAATTTCGGATGATGATTTCGAGGACGTCAATAATATCGGAGACATTGAGTTGATGTTTGCTTCTACAGCAGAGACATCATCTATAGTTGAAGAAAGCACATGCGAAGGTTAGTAACGATCAATGGCATTTTTAAATTTAAAGCTTACATTGTACTTTTCATACTAGCTCAAGTATGTCAAGACTCTGGAATCAAGGATATTGCTTTTCCTACCCATCCATTTGACGAGGATGAGACCGACAGTGTTCAATTTATTTATAGTTGCATAAAGACAAACATGACAGTACAGTCGGTGAGAGAGATGAAAAGATTGTTAGAGCTATTCACAAACAAGGACAGGGCGAGTAGGTTACTAAAAAGAAACGATCAGTTTTAATTATGATGATGCTAATTTAACTTCCCTTTTCCCAGAAAACATCCAAAAAAGAAGTTCTCCGCCCTCGAAGGGTGTCTTGCCATGATCAAAAAACGAATCCCACTTGCTTTTGTTCGTACGCATGAAATCTGTCCCAGCAAGGGTTGTTACCTTTTCGATCCTACCGCTGATGAAAATATAACTGCGTGTCCTCAATGTGGCGCTATAAGACGCTCGAGTTCTGTAGTCAAAATGGTCGATATCGGTGACCATCTTGCTCGTATGCTGACTTGTGATGATTTTCGAAAGGAGGTGGAGCAATACCGAGAGGTTATTGATGCTTTCGAGGAAGGCGATCCTTATACCGACTTTTTCTCTGGTTTGGCTTTTAAGGAGCTCCAAGCAAAAGGGCTTTTCGCAGGTAAACATGACCTGGCCATTGTTCTCTGCATAGATGGTTTAACGTCTAAAGTTTCACGACAAAGTATGGTAATGGTACATGTTATCATCCCTAGCATCGATCCATCTATTAGGTAATGCTTCACACCTATACAATATAAATCAAACATATCAGCTCGCTAATCCAAAAAACAGATACACCAATGACTATACCTTCCAAATAGCCATTTTTTACGGTGATACTAAAACAAATTTTGAGTCCTACCTCCGTCCCATTATTAGAAGCCTTGATCAACTAAGCAAACAGCCACTTGTTGTCAAGCGTAATGGTGAACATATTGCTACGTCTAACGTATTTTGTTTCGGGGTTATTGCGGATGGTGTTGAAATCAACCAACGGCTGTTGATGTTTGGTGGCCATACAGGGTTTCATGGATGTAGATTTTGTTTGGGTATGTGTTGAAGTCCGATGTTTACGATATACGAAACTAACGAGTCTCCTTTATCCAATTAGTGGAAGGTGCTCATCCTGTTGAAGCAGAAAAAAGCGGCATGTATTTTATCAAAAGGAATGATCCTATTAGAAGCAAGGAATCTCTATTACACGTAAGTTCCCGCGTTTTATATTTTTTTCTACGTTGTACTTATATCTTACTGTATCTCAAAGCCCGATCCTCTTAAAACATATGGAATAAAAAGGCATCTCCTTTTGGTCAACTTGACACCTTTTTGGGAATTGATTTCTTCTTCTGTGATGGGCTGCAAATGTTGTCCAACGTCAGCAATATCTGGTTTGATCTACTCTCCCCCAGATACAACGCCAGGTTCAAGTTTGTTGGCAATGAATCGAATTATCCCTTTCATATTACCCCTGTTGATTTTGAAAAGATACGAAAGTGTATGGATGAATCGCGCTGCAATATCCCTTCCGATTTTAGTGGCTCGTTCAAAGGCATAAATTCAGACAATGTCCGGTCCATGTATCGTTCAGTCGATTATATTGCTTGGCTACTGTATGTTGTTCCAACAATTTTTGCGCCACTTTTTCCTGATGCCAATACCACCAAGGCGTTTATTGCACTCTCTCGAGGCATTAAAGTCAGCTTACAATGGACCATAACTGAGAAAAACCTGAAAGAGATTGAAAGGTAATCAGTCCTCCATTTCAAGTATCAATTGAATATGTCACTTACTATTTTCTCCTTTATAGATCATTTGAGACATGGTTTAAATATCTGGATGTGTGCCTTGTCAAAAAAACAATAACACGCACAATTTTCAGATCGAAGATGCATCAATTAAATAATATCACGTATATCATCAGACGAATGGGGTAAGCTAAAACGATAGTCTTGTACAATTATCAAGATTCTAATCTGCTAAATATAGACCCTTGCGTTGTTATTCAGCACGTTCCTTGGAAAGAGCAATTGGTACGTATAAGCGAAGAATCCGGTCAACTCTGCATCCTGGCGTCAATGCTGGCAACGTCCTAGAAACTCGTAATATATTTGCCTTCATCCAGTCGGCTGGTATCATCAATTTCTCAATTGGCCGCACCTCCATTGACAGACCCGCCAATGTTTTAGAGTACCCGTCAAATGATCGGCATCGTCCTCAATTATGGTCTCCCTTTTTAAACCAACCGGTTCCTTTGGTGTTTGGTCAACTCTACCAAAAAATAAGCCAAGATCCATCCTACGTATTACTAGACCACTGCCTACTTTTCTGGTTAAAGGCTCTCTTGCATTGCTTTGTTCGTCTTGAAGGAGATAGGCATATAGGATTCACCAAATTTCACACTGATCAAACAATCAAATTTTCGGCAAAATTATGGTTCAACAATCAAGTTCTGATCTCCCATTTTTACAAGTCAAGCAATTCTTCGAGTTCTCGTGGTGGTGAATACATGATGTTTAAGGCTGTACATCAAAATTTGTAGGTTTTCTTTTCTTTCTGTCATGATTTATTCATACTAACAGTTCTAAATGTGTAGGCAAAATCGTTCCGTCGAAAGATGGTACGTTTGTAAGGTCTTGTTCTACTTCAGTTTCTGCTTTCGCGTGGGTTCTGGATCTCCTTACGTATATGGTGAACTTATGAAAAGTAATGAAGTATCTTCGTACTCGAAAACCATTCCACGGGTCAAGGCATATGTCGAGAACGAGCAAAAGAAATTTGTACTTTTTGATGCTGATGACATCATGTGTTCTGTTGGTCTGGTCAATGCAACTGATCAGTCCCCCAACATGTATGTGATAAGTACTGGCAAAGCATTCGAGGAGGATATGTCTAAACTGGCTGGGAAAGTGGGTGCTATTAAGGGGTTTCAGTTCTTCCCCGCCGGATTTACACATTTTTTTTACACATTCGGTAAAATAATTAAGAACCAATGAAATGCATTTGACATTTTGCAAGAACTGAGCCCCCAAATAAAAAAAAAATTCACACTTTTTAGAAAGACGTTTACTTTTAAAGATCCGAGCCAATGAAGTTGTTCCTGATTTCGTAACTTCATAATGAGTTATATAGTAACATTGAATACGTTGTAGTTATGACACAAGAAAAGGTTAATTGAACACGACACATGACAGGGTAATAACATTGTTGAGTTACGGAGAAAGTTGCTTCTTCTGTTAAAGGCGAAAGTGACAGCAAAGATGAGGAACGTGTTGTGCTTCGATAAGAGCATACACTTGCTTTGATAGAAGCAAATACTCCAGAGGAAAAAGAACAACGAATCGTTATGAGAAGAATTTTGAAAGGGTTTTGCCATGAATACAAAAAATTAAAGCATGATATTTCGTGTTTTTAAAACTCAATATGTGTGAAAAAGTGTAAAAAAAAAGTGTGAAACGAAAAAAAAAACTTGACATGGTCAAGAGCTACTACACTTTTTTTTTTACACTTTTTTTTATGAAAAAATTTCGTGTTTTTGATTGGTTAATTTAAAAGTCAGAATGTGTAAAAAAAATGTGTAAATCCGGCGGGGAAGAACTGAAACCCCTTATTGTATTCTGATAAAAAACATTAGTAAAAAAAAAAAAAAAAAACTTTAATCCCAATAAAATTAATCTTTACGAGTATTTGGTTTCTTGTCGGAGCTAAAGTCATACGGGACGCAGAATGGTCATTGAGCGTATCCGTGACGGTGACGGGATTATACAAAATTGACCGTGGCCGTGACGGTGACGGTATGGTCAAACATTGGCCGTGGCCGTGACGGTGACGTTATCGTAAAAAATTGGCCGTGGCCGTGACGGAGACGGAATCATCAAAAATTGACCATATCCGTGACGGAGACGGTCAATTTATAAACTTGCCCCGTCCAGGATACAGAATAATCAAAAATTGACCAGATCCGTCACGGATACGGTCATTTTTCAAAAATCACCGTCCCGGATCCAGAATAGTCAAAAATTGACCAGATCTGTCACGGATATGGTCAAAATCGTTGTTAACCTTCACCGTAATTTTGCGGTGGATGTGAGAGGATAATGATCGCAAA